GGCAGAGAAGGCCATTTTCACGCTGTCAGAGGCCATTTTCACGCTCGCCCTCCTGTGGGCCGACACACTCAGTGTGACCTGTGAAGTCAAAATGTGTGCCTAGGGCCCTCAGCAGCGGGCTCACAGGCTCTCAACCAGTCTCCTGCCTTCTGCATCCTGGTCCTGCAGGTCACCCCACAGGGAGGGTCCATGGAAAGGGCTGGAAAGGATTTATCCTACTCCTACTTTTCCACCATGGCCTGAAACGCAGTCACCAGCACCCAGAGGTATCTTCTCAAAACTACCAGGACACTGTGACAGCCAACAACCTATCCCAAAACAGCACCTGGGTCCAAAGAGAAGGTGCAGAGCCACTTGGCCGGCCACGCCTGGGCTGCTGCTCTGCCCTTCTGCAGACAGGGCTTCTGTGACCAGGGAGAGCAGAGGATCAGAACTGGAACCAGTGATACTACTCAGCCATTTGGTCTGGAGGCTGGGGATGGACTCCCGGACCTCTTTGAGGTCTGCAAAGAGACAGACAAGTTGGCCTTGGCCTAAGAGAATAGCCTTGGCCATTCTCTTTAAAGAGTGAACGGCCAGAGGACCAGGCTCCCCTGGGCATGCGGAGAAGCCTGTGCCACCAGGGCGGTCTCCCATGAGGTTGTCTGAAGAAAGAGTAACTAGAGGTGGGTAAAGAAGCCACCATGGGAGCAGACAGGGCAACCCAGATAAGCACCTTCACACCAGCTCCTCTCTGCCACCTGGGTTACCCCAGCAACGAGACCAGGCAGGGGCAGCAGAGAGGAGCAGAGGGGCAGGACGTCGGTGGGGCAGGTGAGACAGGGCCATGGTGGGGGAGCGGGCAGAGGACTGGTTCTGCCTGGGAGGAGAGATGCAGACTAGCTTCGAGGCCAGGCATGGGGAAGTGGCTGGAGGTTGTACAGACTGGTGGGAAAGAAGAGCCGCGCTGCCGCACCAGCACCCTCCAGCCTCCCTGAGACGATCCCGCAGTCCAACGCCTGAGATCCTGAGAAATGAGGCCCATGGGTGCCTTGCCAGCCACACAGAGGTACCAGCTCAGCCACCAACATGATGTCAGAGCCAGGGTGGTGAAGTCACAGCCTGGGGAAAGGGGAGGGCAGCCAGGCCTTTCCCCTCCCTAATTCTTTCTGAACCCAGGGAAGAGAGCATAGAGGTAATTTAATGCAATGGAGTGGGTGTGTCCCAAACCAGCTCTAAAAGAAAATAAAGAACACCAAGAAGGACTTCACAGGTCCTTGCTGCTCTATCTGGGTGGCACTGATAGGTAGAGATGGCGTGACTAAGACTCTCAACAGAATCTCTAGACCAGGCCTCGTCACAATGTCTAAGCCTTCAGAGAGTAAACCTGCCTATTTAAAAAAAAAAAAAAAAAAAAAAAAGGGACTCCTCATTTGGTTCAAGGGTCACCTGGTACCTTTAGGAGCCTATTGGGGCCATCTCAGGCATCTCTCTGCCATTTGATCTCATGTCCCAGGCATAATAATGAGAAGCTCCCCTCTTATCTGAGCTCACCCAGGAATCAAGCCCCACCTCCCTGCTCCATGCTGATGCCTCCTAGCAGAGCTTCCTTCCAACATCAGCACCTACAGGCCTGTGAGGCGGGAGCTGGGGATGTTCTGTCCCGGTTGCTCAACCCCCTCACACTGGCTCCCATTTGCATTAACTGAACATGCTCGGGGCACATGCCACCCTCCTTTTCAAGAGACCCAGGCCTGCATGATAAGTTGCTCCCCCAGCAACAGGCACCCACCAAACATAGGTAAACAGCAAGGCCACAACCCCACGGGAAAAAAGGCAGAGAACTTCAGAAAGCAGCAGCTCAGGCACAAGGTTAGTTAATCTTCAATCACTTGGGGAAAAATCCCCTCCCAAGAGCCTTTGAGTGGGAGCTGCCATTGGCAGGGCAGAATTACCTAATCTGCCTGGTACCCCCGAGGCTGCCTCATCCATCCGCCTGCCCCCAGACTCGTCAGCAGGGCCAACCAGGCACACAAAACTCTCCAGCAAAAGACTGTCACCCATCCCTCCCCAGGATCCACTGAATATCGCTGAGCTCTCCTGGGCTGTGACTCCTCATCTTACCCAGACTATGGAGGAAAAGAGACCAGTTCCTCCATGAAACTGGGACACAGATATTCATCTCCCCCCAAGAACAGACCATGTTTAAAGGTGGTCTCTAGTCAGACCCAGTCCCTTCTCAGAACTTCTTCCCTCCCAGATACAACTTCTCACTCCATTGACAAGTCTTAGATCCCAATCTGTTAAGGCCCCAACTCATTTTATAGCCAGAATTAGATAACAGGAAAAAGACATCTCCTTTCCTCTCATCATTGTCATCATCAATAACAATCACCATAGGTCCCATTTGTTGAGCAGGCAGATACGTGCCTTACATGTCTCTAATTTAATTCTCCCTCCTCGACAGCTGGGGAAACAGGCTCGCTAAAGCTCCATGACTTACCCAAGATCACACAAATAGTAGTGGCAGAGCTGGGATTCCAACTCTGGCCCAGTTCCTTGAAACCATCCCATTTGCCACCAGGAGAGAGGGTGTCTACAGGGCCTGGTACAGAGGAGACACCCAGAAAATACTTGTTCCATAAATGACTCAAAACCTGGATGGCCAGTGCAGGGATGGGTGAGTGGGTGAGCAAGTTCAATGAACTCTGCTTATCTCAGGAGCAGCTCCAAGGCACACAGGAAGTGGCAACTGAGGCAAGAAGGACCTCTCAGCTGCTGTCCCCTCGGTGCACGCCACTGCTGCTATGAGGGTCCGTGATTCAGAAATGGGGGAAGCCAGGCACCTCAGGTGGCCTCCCCCTTCATTCACCTAAAATCTGCCTTCCACATCTCTGGGAAAGCCCCTTTCCCTGAGTTCCCCCTCAGGGTTGGCACCTGCCTCAGGCAGGGAAGAGGGGCCGATCCTGAAGAGTGGTGACCCTCCCGTCACATTAAGACAAATGTGCATAGATCCTGTGCACAGCCACTGCCTCTGGGAAGAGCCATTTCCTTAAGAACTCTGACCACGGTGTCACTGAAAGAGAAGATGCTGGGGTTGCCCCTTCCCCACACCCCCCTTGCATTGGGGCCTTCATCAGTTTTCCCCAGCAAGGGCCCCTGATCTCCAAGGGAGGACTGGAGAGAGCCAGGGCTGTGACCAGGGCAGCTGCCAGCCCTGGCGAGGCTGCCGGCCCCATCTCCTGGAGCGCCCAGCAGGAAAGGCGGTTCTGAGAAGGCAGCGAGCAGAAGGACCCGCAGACGCAAAGGCTCATTACAGGGAATGACTAAGTGAGCTGCGATTCCAGGGGAAACCCCACTCGCTTCTGCTCGCTGAGACGCTCATCCTTGAGCTATTTTGACTAAGGCGGCTTCCAGGTGCTGCCCTCCGCTGGGGCAGCCCACTGACAGCAACCGGGTTGCTGGAGGACCCTCTGCCTGGAAGTCTTGGTCCTGGCTATTCAGGTCGTCTGACAGGTCTGCCCCACCCGTTTCCAGGGCGGGAAAGTCTGCCCATCCCCGGTTAAAGCGAGATGCTGGGAATGGGGGAAATCCGATCAGCACCTCCTAGGTTTTTGCGGCTGGATTTCAATAAGGAATGTGACAGTCTCGCAGCAGCTGTGCCCTGCCTGAAACAAGCTCTATTTGAAACCTCCAACAGCTGAACCCCTCCCAGCTACACGCTGGCCAGCCCGGCCAGCCACCCCCTGCCCCAAATGACAAATAAATAGAAAAATCCAAGCAACAAGCAGGCGCATGCATACGTACACACATTACACACATATACACACACACACCAACAAATTGGGGGTGGGGGTATCGTGGAGCCACTTGTCCACTGATTCCCAGGTCTCCAAGCCTTCCAGCCCACAGCAGGAGAGCTCCCCGGCAAGCAGAGCATCGGCAGAAACCCACCTTCCTCCATCTCCATTCCCTCTGGGAGGGAAACCCCCTCCTCCGTCTTGGGGCTGGACTGAGAGGCTGGAGCAGTGGGGCCAGCTCCCCCCTAAAGCCAGTGCCTGCTGTTCTCCATCCGGGCGCGCACTCACACACACACTCATCTTTATTTATCCCAAGGAGAAGGAGTTGAGGTGGGAGGGGAGAACTGGGGCTGAGCTGGGGCGCGGGCTCGCGGGGACCGCCTGGCAAGCCCTGTCATCCCATCCCAAGGAGAGGTGCTCCCCCAGCTGATGCCAAGGCGGCGCCCAGCTGCTCTGCCCAGGTAACACCTGTAGCCATTTTATCAGGAGATGTTTACAAAGCAGCAGCAGGTTTATTCTGAGTCCTCTCTCCTGAGGGAAAGGACCACTGATTTCCTCCACCTATATTTTTACCCCATGCCCTCAGGAGACACAGGTCATGAATGGTTTTCTGTTTTGCCTGAGTGTTTCTGAGAAGAGGAGGGAAACAGAAACTTGGGAAGAGAGGAAGAAGACAGGGAGAGAAGGGACTTGGGCAATGGTATGGAATCCCCACCCCCCACCCAGACATTTATTTCTTTTTTATCCTCAGGAAAATGGAGTGGAGCAGGGAGGGGAGGAAAGAAGGGGAAGTCGCAGGAACTGGCAAACACATCAAGGCGGAGTGTAATTAATTGGTGCGTTAAGCTGCTGGGTTATGCTTTAGTACCAGTGAGCCAGGAGGAAAAGGGATTTCTCAGAAGGGATTATTTAATCCTCCCTAACAGAAAGTCTGCAAATTAGACACAGTGTGTGGGGATGTCCCCTACCCCCCAAAGGAAGCGAGGAATGAATTCTCCCGGGATCAAGAAGGAAAACCACGGGAAGTTAGAGTGTTCAATATAACTGAGCAAGCGCCTCTCACCACCACCACCACCTCTCTCTCCCAGTCTCCCTCCCAATCTCTCTCAATCTCTCTCTCTCTCTCTCAATCTCTCTCTTTCAATCCCCCTCTCTCAATCCCTCTCTTGCTACCTACATATTCCTTTTGTTCAAGGTATAAAGAGAAACCACAGCCCCTACCTTTGAGTACAAACCCCAAGAGAGCTCGGTCTCTATCACCATAACAACAATTCCAAACATCCCAAAAATCAGAGCATAGTCACTCAGTCGCTTTCTCTTTTCAAACAGGGCCCTCCTGTGTCCCAGCTTATAGCCAATGTTTTGGTTTTTCCGCTTGTTGGCTTTGGGGAAGGTGGTGCTGCTGGCGGTGGTGCCGGCATGCTGGTGGTTGTGGGTGGCATTAGGGTGATGGAGCAGGGTCTGGTGGGCATGGTTGTCCTCCCGGGAGGAGATGACGATCTCCGGGGGGTTGCTAGGACTGAAAAGCTGGAGGGGTTGGCCCTCAGTCTCCGCCTCGATGAGGTTCCTCCGGGAGGCGCTGAGGCGGCTGAGGGGCTTCATGACCCCACCGCTATACTTGCAGGAGCTCATGGCGATCTCCGTGAAGGGGTTGCTGTCCCGCCGGTGCACCAGGGGGCTGGCCTGCCGGTGCCGGCTGCCTCCGCCAGGCCCACTTGTAGCTGTGGAACTTGGAGAGTGGCCAAGCAAGTGGTCATTGAGATTGAGCTGGCTGCCTTGCCTGGAGGAAGGGTGGAGGATGGCGGTGGAGTTGGACGAAGGGGGGGGCCTGAAAGCGGTGGGAGAGGAGTGCAGCAGGCCAGGGTGGACGGGCTGGCTCTGGAGTTGGGCGAGCTGAGACAGGGGATGCGGTGGCTGCTGCTGCTGCTGCTGCTGCTGCTGCTGCTGCTGCTGCTGCTGCTGCTGCTGCTGAAGCTGCGGAGGCTGAGGCTGCAGCGAGGGTCCCAGGGGCTGCTGGGGGGCTGCTGGTGGCGCTGGCGGTGGTGGCTGCTGCTGCTGCTGTTGCTGCTGCTGCTGCTGCTCATCCCCAGAGGATGGACAGGGGCACTTGGGGTCTTCATCCAGGTCCCCCACCCCAGAGTCATGGAAGTGCCCAGAAGTGTCCATCTTGGGGCCTGGCTGTATTCCCTGCAGCACAAGCCCCCACCCCAAAGCCACCCTCGCTCCAAAGATGTCCTCAAAGAAAGCCAGGCATCCAATCTCCCCCACCAGTGTCTTGGCTCCAGTCCTCTCTCTTTGGCTTGCTTCGGTTCTCTGGGGCTGCCTGGAGTCCAGACGCTGCCACTCAAGAATGCATTGTATTGGGCAGGGAGGGAGAGCAGGAGGGGAGATTGGAGAAAGAAGAGGGGGTGAAAGAACTCTCCCAGGAGGTGGTCCTCTAGGAGCGTGTGAGGCCAGGATCAGCTTCACTCCTCGCTGGCTCAATAGCTTCGCTCGCCTCCTCCTGCCACTGTTACATTGTAAGCCAAGCCCACTTATTAGCAGCTGGTCTCATTGGCTTGGCTTAACTCTCCAACCTCCTCCTAGCTCCGCCCCCCGCATAGGCTCCTCCCCAGAGGAGGGGCCTGGCGTCCTCGTCTCCGGCCCCAGTGGCTGCGCAGCGAGGGCTGGGAACTGTAGTTTTTGCTCCCCGACCCCGGAGCTGAGCCACTGTCCTCTTTCCTCTGACAGGTATGGCCACAACCCGCAAGCCCACGGCGATAAGGGATGTTCGCTCACGCTGGGCGATGGGGAGGAGGGACAGAAGGCCTCCGAAGGAAGGGAGGTGTGCACCCTGATGAGGGGGCAGACGGAGGGGAAGGCAAACATTTATTAACCACCAGGGTTTACGATAGGTTGTTTCACATATATTATCCGGATACATTCTTCAAACACCCAAGGAGGTGGGCAGTATGGTCTCATTTACAAAGCCTCATGCTTAGAGATGTTGAGTAACAACGTCAAGGTCACAGAAGCAGGGGGGATCCACGCCTCCTGACACTGGGTGGATAAACTCACCTACCATTGATTGAGTGCCTACGCCGCGTGTTCAGGCACCTCTCTGTTATTTCCAACCCTCACATCAACCCCACGAAAATGATGTCATCACTCTCCTTTTACAGATGAAAATTGGAAGAAGAAGAAGGAGGAGGAGGAGGAGAAGAAGGAGAGAAAGGAAAGGGGAAAAAACACTCAAACACTCAAACATAGATACGTAACTTGTCAGATGTCACCCCGCTTGTAATTAAAGGTGCTGGGATTTGAACTTAGTCAGTCTGACCCTACAGATCCTATACTGTCTCCCAGGATGCATTTCCACTATGATACTCAGTACAAAGTGGTTGTTCAATAAATATTGTTCAAATGTTGGATAGGGGAAAAACCAGAGAAGCTGCTGAGGAAGAACTGGCCTCTCCAAAGCAGGGTGTGTGAAGCGGACCATGGCTCCAGCCCTTTCCCTAACAGCTGGGCATGGAGTCACAGGGCGATCTGGCAGGAAGACTGAAGATTCCCCCCCCATGGTCGTTCCCTGCCTGATTTGTCCCATGGGGCTCTGAGAGTCAGAGCTAGGAACAGCTGCTGGCTTCCCAGGTTCAGCATCATCATCAAGTATTTATTAAGCTCCCACTGTGTGCAGAGGGGGTTCCAAAGGATGGGACCAGAGCTGAATTCATTTTCATTTCTAACCACAGCAGCATTAGGAATCAGAAGGGAAGTCACCAAGAGGGAATTCCCCAGCACACCTGGGGTTTTAAAAGGCAGGCCTCTTCCTCTCTGGCTCTTGATTCCCCATCACCCTTTGGCCTCTGTGCAGCTCCCTCCCTAGATGGGAAGAGGAAAGGGTAGGAGATCCATGCACACATACACAGACACACACTCAGAAAACATGTAAGCAAGTGGACACACATGCACGTGTGTACATGGTTGTGTGCACACACTAGCCCATGCACACACACATGCACACATATACACATAGGAAACTTCTAAAGCAGCTCTCCTGACTGGTAAGCAGCAAGTGTCCAGGTCAGGGAGGGACAGAGCTCCCCCCAGATGAGCCCAGAGTCCCCTCTGTATATCAGTTCTCACCTCTTCAATCCCCCATTAACCCTGAGATTGAGAGCCAAATATTACTTGTAATACAAGCCACAACCCCAGATACCTGACAATTGCTCTTGCACAATAATCTTGATTCTGGTCAGGCGTGGTGGCTCATGCTTATAATCCCAGCACTTTGGGAGCCCAAGGCATGAGGATTGATTGAAGCCAGGAGTTCAAGACCAGCCTGGACAACATAGCAAAACCCAGACACTACAAAAATTTTTAAATTAGCTGGACATGGTGGCGAGTGCCTGTAGTCCAGCTACCCAGGAGGCTGAGGGAGGAGGACTGCTTGAGCCCAAGAGTTTGAGGCTACAGTGAGCTGTGATAGTGCCACCACATTTCAGCCCAGGTGGCAGAGCATTACCCTGTCTCTAAAAAAAAATAAAATATAAAATAATAATCTTGATTCTTATTATTATCAATGACATAGTCATTCCCCCTGGCCTCAGATGCAAGCCTGGGGTCTCATGTGTTTTCCCATGACCAGGCCCTCTAGCACCCACCCCCAACCCCTTCAGCATCCTCTGCCTTCCCTGCCCTTCCCTTCTGTATTCCTGATTTCCCTCCCACTCCTCCATCCCCAAACAGAGCCACCTGCTTGGTTCAAGGCTCCAGATCGCATACTTAGATTTAATTATCTTCTAATAAATTATCATGAATATGTTGTTAGTAGCAAAAATGTGCTGTTCTTGTTGGTTTTTTAGTGCTGGATACAGTTTCTGGGCTGTGAAAAATCAATTTTGGAGAACAGACTCCAGGCCTGGGTATTTCTGTACTCACTCCACCCCCATAAGCTGCCTTCTGCCTCAGCTAACCTTTCTGGCCAGACTCTTGCCTCCAGTTCTCCTGGCGGTGCCAGTGGGATCCAAATGGGACCTATCAGAACATGTCCTGCCATCATGGATGAGGATGAGAGATAGCTTGGGTAGAGCCCTAACTATGCCAGCACCAAAGATCAGTGGTTATCTGGAAATGGGCTGCAACTTGACAGCTGATGCCACTGAGCCAGCTCATGCCCCTTGTTACGGCTATCCTGTCATGAACAGGAGGAGGAGGAGGAAGACAGTCATGTTTAAAGCTTGGGCTCAAGTGTCAGACTGCCCAGGCTGGACCCCTTCTCTGCCACAGGGATGGCTGTGTGACCACAGGCAAGATGACCTTCTGATCATCCATATACATCTCTTCCTAACTCCACAGTGACGTCACATTAGCAGCTTGAAATCAGTCACGATCAGAGTATTTACACCACAGAAATCGGCTAACACTGTAAATTAGAGCTTATGTTTTCCTGGAAGCCGCTTGCTACACCTTTTCCTAGCTGTTCAACATTTATTGGCACATTACTGCTTCCTATATCCTTATATACAGGTTGTGCACTCCACCCTCTGCCTTCCTTCTCACCGGCACAAACTTTGCCACTCGCCCACTATGTGACCAATTGCTTATCTTCTCAGGCCTTCAATTTCCTTAGTTCCAGTGAGAGCACCGGCCAAGTACTTTGTAACTGTCAAGCACCAACAGGTTAGTGAATAAGCTGGGAGCTCTCAACCACAGGGCCTGATCACGTCAGGTTTTCCACACTGCCCTCCTCTTGCACCGCACTCAGGCGTCTTCCCGCTGTTGCTGCCTGTTCAAAGCCCCACTGTTGAAAAGCCCTCAATGCTTCCCTTGGCCCCCAGCCACAACCGTGTCTTCACAGCAGCCTGTGAGTTGAGGCCATTACCCATTTTATAGATGAAAAAACTGAGGCATTAAACAGATTTTAAAACTTGCCCAGAGTTACTAATTAGTAACCAGTCATAAAGCTGGAATCAAACCCAGGCTTGTCCAACCTCAAAGCTCAAACACTCGCCATATGTCCTGAAACCCAAATTTAAAGGAATCATTCTTACTGGTATTTATTAAACATTACCATGTGACTCACGTACCCAACCCTCAGGAACTTAAAGTCTCACTGTAGAGACGAGTTACACTCACATGGGGTGACAAAAAACAGCAATGAAGATCCCAAAGTGTGGTCGAGACAGTAGAGTTCATTGAAGGCAGAGGGTTGTCAAGGGTGGCTTCCTGGAGGTGGTGGGACGTAAGCCACACATTAAAGAATGGGGAGCAACTCCTTATGCTGCCTTAAGATGAGAGGCTGACAAATTAGCCCTCTTTAGTCTGCAAAGGGGGGTGTGGAGGAGCTTCTTACCTCAGAGAGACAGAGAGAGCAGACAAGGAAAGTACAGGTGGCCTTGGCCATACTGGCTCCACATCAAGCGTGCTGGAGCTGGGTTTCTGCCCTCCTTTCCAGGCGCATTCCTCACCACCTTCCTCCTTAAGCCCCAGCATCACCAACCTATTGTAGCTCTCCCATAAGTCATGCTATTTCACATCTGCATGCCCTCTGCCTGGCATGCCCTTCCCCCAGATTTCCATCTAACACATTTCTCTTTGCCTTTCAAGACATGGCTCAAAGGTCTTCTTTCTGAGAAGCTTCCCCTGAACTCCCCAAACCCAAATCAGAAGCTCCTTCTGTATTTTCAGTCCCCTATGCTAACAGGGCCTCTACAGAGCAACACAGCTATATCTCCATATGTGTCCTTTGCCCCTAGACCATGACCTCCTTGAGGGCAGGGATGATGTCTTCTTCACAGCTGTACTGCAGCTCTTCCGAAGAGCCGCTTACAACAGATGCTTAGTAAAGATTAATCGAACTGACTAAACTTGAAACCTGGGTGAGGTCATTTGAAGGCAAGTAAGAGAAAGTCACAGCACTTTTCACAAGAAATCATAAACACAATTTCCTCGTCAGTAAAATAGTGAGATAAAAAAGATAATTTCTAAGATCACTCAGCTTTAAAATTTCATAATCTATTGTCTGTAGAACTTGTTATCCTCGAAAGGTAAGACTAACTGAAAATAGGTTTAAGAAAAGTAGTGGTTCATGGTTCATATGGCTGTCCACAAGCTGTGACCTGCATAAAAGGGCTCTAAATTTTTTCTGTATCCCCAGCACTGATCAGGGTGCCTGGCTATGAATTACTCATTAAAGATTTATTGGTCGGATGTGGTGGCTCACGCCTGTAATCCCAGCACTTTGGGAGGCCGAGGTGGGAACATCACAAGGTCAGGAGTTCAAGAGCAGCCTGGCCAACATGGTGAAACCTCGTCTTTACTAAAAAAAAAAAAATACAAAAATTAGCCAGGCATGGTGGCGAGCGCCTGTAATCCCAGCTACTCAGGAGGCTGAGGCAGGAGAATTGCTTGAACCCGGGAGGCGGAGGTTGCAGTGAGCCAAGACCATACCATTGCCCTCCAGCCTGGGCAACACAGCGAGACTCCATCACAAAAAGAAAAGAAAAGAAAAGAAAAGATTTATTAGACCGATGGATAGATGGATGGATGGAC